ACAAAGTCAGTGACTTTGAACTTTCCACCAGAAATGAATTTATTAATTTAATTAAATGAGTTTAATTAAAGTTAGCAAATGCTTTTATATAAAATGATCTTCACAGCTACAAAGAACAAACTTGAACTTCTTAGAATTTGGGTTTTACTAAACTATATATTTAGGAGCTAATGGCTACAGTTTATGTGTAAATCATTTTCTAGAGTAAAAACCCTTAAATTTATTTTCACAATTTATGACATTGACGCCCTAGCTGGCTTGGCTCAGTGGATAGAGCGTCAGCCTGCAGACTGAAGGGTCACAGGTTCAATTCTGGTAAAGGGCACATGCCTGGGTTGTGGACTCCATCCCCAGTGGGGGGTGGGGTTTACAGGAGGCAGCTGATGAATGATTCTTTCTCATCATTGATGCTTCTATCTCTCTCCCCCTGTCCCTTCCTCTCTGAAATAAATTATATATATGTATATATGTTGTGTATATACATACGTGTGTGTGTGTGTATATATATATATATATAAATCATGACATTGACCACAAAAAACCTTGAGGCAGAATGAGATTTAAAGTAATTAAAAATTAAGGGGGGAGGGATGACATAATCTGATTTACTAAATGAATAACTAAATGAAGACAACAATCATAAAACAGCAAAATACTATTTTATAATTTACCTTTAAGCCTGAAGAAAACTCTACCATTTCTTCTGCTTGAACATTCCTCAGCCCATGTACTCTGGCAATACCATCACCAATACTTAACACTCGCCCAGTCTCTTCAAGGTCAACAGTGGTATCAGCTCCAAGAATTCGCTCTTCAAGAATAGAGGACATCTCGGCAGTGCCTATTGAGAGCAATTCCATTACAAATAATAATCTGGTCCCAGTTTCTTTTCAAAACCTATTTGCATAACATGAATAATATAGTTTTGTGATATAATGATCAAATTATACTCCAAAATGCAATATATATATAGTTCTATTCAAAAAAACTTGAGACCTATGAAAAAGAACCCAAGTGATTCAGAGAAAACTTCACAAGACAGATAAAAAAAACTAGTAAATTAAAATATCCTTAAAAGAAACTTGCAAGGGCAAATTCATAGATTAGCAGCTACTGCCTTTGAAAAACATAGAGGTAAAAACTGCTACTTTTTGTAATTCTTTTTAGGAAAGGAAAAAAAAAAAATCCTTCATAGATTAGAAAGTGTGTCCACCACCTGACATGTGCACATTCTGTTTCCACCCAAGGGGACATTATCAGAAGCTGTACTAACATCAAAAGACAACTATATAAAACTGTAGTTCATTTCACTAGAACAAGCAAACCTACCAACATGGTAAATGGCACATTGTGGGTTAAGAATCTGAGGTTCTGCCGGGCAGGTGTGGCTGACCTATGAATCCGGAGGTCACAGTTCAATCCATCCATATCAGGGCACATGCACGGATTTCAGCTTGATCCCCGGTAGGGGGTGTGCAGGAGGCAGCCGATAAATAATTCTCTCTAACTGACGTTTCTCTCTCTTTCTCCCTTCCTCTTTGAAATCAATAAAAATATATTTAGAAAAAAAAAAAAAAAAAAGTCTGGGGTTCCACAGTAACTAAAATTGAGAGAAAAAAATTAACAAGTAGGGAAAAATGCCTGCAGCAACTATGCAACTATGTAACTTATCTTACATTTAATGAGAAGGTAGTAAGTGTGGTGTAGATTTAGAAATAATGACTCACCAGTCTTCTGAAGAAGAGTGTTAGAGGCATGGAGATTCCTTGTAGCAATGAAGGATGATCCCAAAGCATTTTTGGAGACCTAGGGCAAAAAAATATTTTTTTTAAATCCGGTTTTTAAAAGGGCCTTTATAAAACTGGCTAGCTTGAATGCAAGCTTAGTTTAATCAAGTTATTTATTAAGATATGAATTATACTGGCCAACGTGGCCTAATGGTTGTGCATCGACCTAAGAACCAGGAGGTCACAGTTGGATTCCTGATCAGGGCCCCACACCTGGGTTGTTCTATCTCTCCCTTCCACTATGAAATCAATAAAATAAAATACTTGTTTTTAATCAAGAAAACAAAAAACTGCCAATGTTGAAATTTGATTAGAAACTATGCTACCAGCGGTTGTGTTAGGGCAGTATGTCTATTTCATCCTTCAAGTTGAGACTACTTTTAGGATGGAAAAAATGTAAAAGCGCTTACATAGGATTTAAGCAAAGATTATACTCTTCACTGAATGAGAGAAGTAATGAAGGTCACTGACCTTTACAGGTATTTCCCAACCTATGTTCTATTTTCCTCGAGTCCTCAAATCACTGCCTCCCAATTCCCCAAGGACGGAATCTTACAAAGCCAGCTCTCCCGCGGGCCTGGGCCAGTGCAGAAGCCGGCTTCCCTGCAGTCAGGGCACGGGCAACAAGAAATGCACACCCGACCCGCGTCTGGGCTGGGTTTTCAGCATCGTTTCAGCAATCAGCACTGAGAGGTCGCCCACCCACGTATCCAGAAAACCGCCTTCATTCACCGCTCCCCTCTGCACTGACCTCCGGGCAGCGTGACCTTCACAGGCCGAGCGCTCGCGGCTCGCTCTGACCTTCAGCGAGGGGGCCCCGGAGAACCAGCGGGGCCCGGCCGCCCCGTTTCCGCCCCGGCTCCGGCCAGCTAGCGCCCAGGCCCTGACCTTTCCCCAGGCCCTTCGCGAGCTGCTCTCAACCAAAGAAGGGAATCCTCCTGGGGCCCCATCGCTGCACAGCATCAAGGTCACTGTCTCCCCTGCAGCCCCCTGCACCATCTCTCACGGATGGCGAACAAAAAGGCCTTTCCGCCGTCCTCCTTGTCCAGCCGGGCCCGGCCGAGCAGCCAGCGGTGCAAGATGGCGGCGCCTGCCACAGCCCCTCGCCCTCCTTTGCAGAAAAGAGCTCCCGAGCCAGCGCCCGCCAGCGCCCGCCGCCGCCCGCACGGGCCGCCCCCTCCCGCCGGTGCCCGGCGCTCACCAGGCCGGCCCGCCGAGGGAGGGCGCGGGCTACGGCCGCGGCGACACGCACGGACAGCATCTCGGCAGCTCCTGGAAGTTGCTCTGCAGCCGCAGCCTCGGACTGACTGGGACAAAATGGCCGAGCGGCGAGGAAGGTCAAGGCAGCCAGCCCACCTGACCCGGAAGTACCGCCCCTCGCCGTCACCTCCCGGATGCAAATCTGCCTTGCGCGAGGTGGGAGTGGTTACTTTTTTTTTTTTTTAGGTATTATTTTTAGAGATATAAAGTTCAAAATGAATGATTAGCCCTTTGCCAGCGTCCGCGCAGGCATGGCTTACACGTTTACTTTGGTCTTTGCAGCTGACCTTGTGTCTGCCCGGAGCGACCACGTGGGCAGCGGACCGCTCCCGGGCCACGTGACAGGTGACAGGTGCTGTGGACGCCCGGTCAGAGGGCGCGGCAGGCAGGCTGGCTGACCACGAGGCGGGGTGGAGGTGTCAGGTCGGAGGCTGTCACCACGAAACAGTTTTCTGCAGAAAGAGGTGATTCTCAGAGCCACGGGGCCCCTCCCCAGGCCCTCTGTGTCAAAAACGTTGGGCTCTGGATTTTGACAAGCACCGTGGACGTGGACGAAGGAGGGGCCACATACTAAACTCGACAAGCTCAGGGGAGGCCTCTATGTGCGTGTGGTTTTAATGTGGAAATATGTAGCAAAGTGTGTGTCTAATTTACAGAGTTCCTGTAACAAGGAACAAAAGTAAGAAATCGCATGGAAAAGTATGCATTGCCGTAGCAGTATCAAGAATCACGCACAGTGTTGTTAGCTATTATACTATCATGAAGGGGGGAGAGAACTTTCCATGGAAGAGTAGCCGAGTGGCGGTGCTAGCAGTTGAATGTCGTCAACAATTTTATTTTATCTTATTTATTTTTTAAATTCTCACCCAAGGACATGTTTCCATTGATTTTTATAGAGGGCGGGGGGGGGGGGGGAAGAAACATCGATTGCTGCCTTTTGTATGTGCCCCAAGGGTACTAGTATATGCCCTGACCTGAATGGAACCTGCCATCTTCTGGTATAAAGAAGGAAGCTCCAAACAACTGAGCCACACCAGCCAGGGCTGTCAGCTATTTATTTTAAAAGTCTCCAGCACATTTAGCTCTTTGGTAGTGGAGACTAACGGATAAAACTAAGGTTGCTGCAGTTTATAATGCCGAGGTAAAATAAAAATTTAAGCTAGTGCACACAAACATCTGCTATCCAAAAAACAAGTTTCAGGTATTTTTTTTTTTAAGACAAGCAATTTAAGTTAGTAATCCTATATGATAAAGAGGTAATATGCAAATTAGCCCTCACGCCATCACAAGGTGGCTGCCTACAACCAGTCTAGCAGGGGGGTTAGTGAGGGATGACCAAACAACTGAACAGTAGGCTGTAAGGGGTGACCATGCTAGCAGGGGGAGCAGTTGGGGGCGACCACGCTGGTGTGGGGGGCATTGGGAGTGACCAGGCCAGCAGGAAGGGGGCAGTTAGGTGCAATCAGGCCAGCACGCAGAGGCAATGAGGGGCAATCAGGTCAGCAGGGGATGGGGAGGAGAGTTAGGGACGACCAGGAAGACAGGCGGGTGAGCGATTAGGAGCCAGCGGTCCAGGATTGTGAGAGGGGTGTCCGACTGCCAGTTTTCTGGATTGGAGATGGTTCAGGCTGAGCTGAGGGACCCCCCTCCTATGCACAAATTCCGTGCACCGGGTCTCTAGTCAACATGTAAGAAAACACAGCCTGGCTTTATGCGATTCTATTCTCGTCCTGTAGATTATGCCATGGAGGGCAGAAGGCGAGACAAGGTGGCCAGCAGGGAGAGACTTGCAGTGCTGGCCTTGCAGCAGCCTGGAGTCCTAGTGAAAACTACAACTCCCAGAAGTCCCGGGCCCCTAAGAGGCTGGACCCACGGGTTGTGGGCGGGACCTTCAGAGCGGGGCCCCGCAATTCTCAGGCGGGAGCTGCTCCTGAAGTGGCGGGAGCAGCCGCTATGGAAGCGCCGGAGGAGAAAGAGGCGCAGGTAAGGGGGCAGGAGCCGGCATTTGCCAGCGGAGTCTTTGACACACCCGCCCGCAGGGCGGATCTCCTGCTAGGTTTACTTGCCTAGTCCGGGGGCCCATGTTTAGTCTGCGCTCTTTGATTTCCCTTTCTACTTGGACCGCCCTGGAAAGGGCTTTTCCCTTCCTTCCCCTGCTTAGACTTGCGCTCGGAGGGGAGTTGAGGAGCCCCCTGGTACAAAATCCCTCCTAGCGACTGAAGGGGGACTTCTGAAAGGGGATGCATGCAAGAATGTAGCCTTGAGAGTAGCTAATCTTGTCCCATAGTTTGAACCGAGGCGCTGTTTGAATCAGAGGAGCCAACAATCTTGGGGTTTAATCACCAAGTACTCTCATAAATTGTGGAAGGCCATAGCAAAGAAAAGGAAAGATCTGTTTTTTGTCCTTACACACTCCTGACTTGCATCCGTGGCCCACATCCCAGCCCCACGAGCCTCTGTGGGGCTTGTGTATTGTGGACAACTCCTTTTTTCAGAGTTTGCATGGGTAACTAATGCTTTAGTTAGCACATGCAGTTTGATCTTTTAAATTATTTGAGTGGTGCAAGTTACTAGCCTATGTGCCGCTTTTGTTCCCTTTGGAAAAGGATGGATTGTTTTCTGGTCATTTTGTTCCTTGTGATTCCTCACTTATTTCCTGACATCTGGTATGTATCTTCTTAAAAACACTTTAGGATGTGAAGTCAGTTTGACTTAAGAATATTCATAGAAAGCATTTTGTTTGCTTCTGATTGCTAATTTGTAATACTTTGTGCTATTACAGTAAACAAGACTTAAAGTATTTGCCTTCCTTTTTATGGTTAGGTTGCTGCGTGGTTGAAAAAGATGTTTGGAGATCATCCTATTCCACAATATGAGGTCAATGACCGGACCACAGAGATTTTACATCACCTTTCAGAACGCAACAGGGTCCGGGACAGGGATGGCCACCTGGTAATAGAGGACCTGAAACAGAAAGCAAGTGAATATGAATCAGAAGGTGAGATTAATTCCAGAGTTTTTGAATGAGATAATAATCAGAAGGAACCAAATTTTATAACACTAAAGTATATAAGAGTAATTTAGTGTAGAAAAGTTTTGGGGGTTTTTTTTGTTTGTTTTTAGAGAGGAAGGGAGAGGGGGAAAGAATGAAACATCTATGTGAGAGAGAAACATCTCACACCTTGTCCCATACACACCTTGACTGGGGATGGAACCCACAACCTGGGCATGTGCCCTGACCCGGAATTAAACCCGAGACTTTTCGGTGTATAGGAGGATGCTCCACACTGGCCAGGGCTGATGTACCATGTATATGAAATGTCCATAATAGACAAATGAGTGGAGACAAAATGCAAATTAGCGGTTGCTAGGGCTTCACGGGTTGGGAATTGGAAAATGATTACTAAAAATTGGAGTTTCTTTTTGGGGTGATGAAAATGTTCTAAAATTGACTGTATTGATGGGTATGCCACTCTTAATATACTAAAAGCCATTGAATTACAGGTATGTATACTTTAGGTGGGTGAATTGTATATGTGAAAGATTTCAATTAAACTGTTAAAAATTAAAAGTAAAACAAAACAAACATCTAGAACTATTTTATCTTTTCAGCCAAGCATCTTCAAGACCTTCTCATGGAGAGTGTGAATTTTTCCCCTGCCAGTCTCTCCAGCGTTGGTTCTAGGTATCTGAATGCTTTGGTTGACAGTGCAGTGGCCCTTGAGGTAAAGGATACCTCAGTATCTAGGTAATTTTTACGATAGTTTTTATTTCTGTAATCATATATGTTATAAGGTCTTGACCTAAGAGACTGTTTAAACACTCAGTGTAATTCTATGTGGGAAATGAACAATAAGTGCCCGAACACTGAATTTAATTAACTCTTTATCATTGCCAGTGAGTATGTGTAATTCATTCAGGATAAACTTGGTATTGGTTAAATTTTAGTGTTTTCTCCTTCCAGGATCAGGTTTTTGATTCGTATGTATATTTGGAAAGGTATTAGGTACCACTTACATTGTTCTTTATAAGTATACCATGAGAAAAGTCGTAGCTTAAATCATCTGGTTGAGCATACTGAATTTTGGTTATGTTCCTACCCTATGGGGTAGAGTAGTTTAAGGACCTTTATTCTTTGTGACAGGCATTTCACATGTATAAAGACATTATTCTTCCATTAACCTCAAGAGGAAACTGACATTCAGGAGGGGTGTTAAATAACTTCTCTGAGCTAGTAAATGGCAGAGTTGAGGTTCAAACCCTGTCTGACTCCCAAGTCTATATGAATATCACTGGTGGCCATATCTTAGCTAGGATGACAATTATAACTTACAGAGAACTGTACAGCTCTTCTCCTTCGTTGTCAATATAAGGGCTTGGAATTTATATATATGCTCAAGAGTAGTGTTTCAGGAATAAAAATGCATATTGTATGGCAGCAGACATCTAGACTTAACTCCATTTAGTAGACGCTAAATACTGGTTACACACCACCTATACACATATACATAGTATTGGAGAAGCGAGATGAATAGGATAGTAATTGCAGTCAAGAATAATCTCTGCTCGTGGTCAAATAAGGGAGGCGCATGTAAAAGTATAGCACCAAGTGTGACAGCTGTAACGTAACAGGAATGTGCAAGCTATTGCTTGGGCACAGAGAAAAAGGAAGTGAATTCCAGGATGGGAGTCCATCTTATTTGCGTTTTGAAAGACAAGGAAATTTGCCAGGTGAAGAAAGGCTTTGGCCCTGGCCAGTTTTGCTCAGTGGATAGAGCGTCAGCTTGCGGACTGAAGGGTCCCAGGTTCGATTCCAGTCAGGGGCATGTGCCTTGGTTGTGGGCACATCTCCAATAGGAGGTGTGCAGGAAGCAGCTCTTCAAAGTTTCACTCTCATTGATGTTTCTAACTCTGTCCTTCTCCCTTCCTCTCTGTAAAAAAATCAATAATAATAATAATTATTATTATTATTATTTTTTTTTTTTTTTAAGAAAGGCTCTGCAGGTAATGAGAACAGCAAGTACAAAATCCATAGAGGTACGAAATAGCGTGGTTATGAAAGAATCATATAGAGATCAAGTCATTGTTAGAAATGAGGAACAATTGTAATTCTTGTCCTTGATGTCCATTTATGTGACCAGATTCTTATTCTTTCTTTCTTTCTTTTTTTTTTAGTTTTCTCTCTGCAGTGAATGATTTGACCTCTGACCTTTTTCGTACCAAATCCAAAAATGAAGAACTCAAGCTTGAATTGTCAAAACTTGAAAAAAAATTAACTGCAAGTTTAGTATTAGAAAAATGTCTACGAGAGTAAGTAACTGAATTGGAAATGGTGACAACTTTTTAAAAAGGCAATAATAGGACTTTATCATATTTAGTTTTTAAGAAATGGGGTCCATAAAATGTTTTTTAAAGCAGAAAATTACTTGAATGAAGGTTGGGAATAAACTTTCACCTTTTAATACAGTTTTTCCTTCTTTTTTACAAATAATCTGGGTTTGTTCATTTTTTAAGTGTATATGAACTTTCTTTTCTTTTTATAAACTATAGGGAAACTTGAAGTGCATTTTATTTTGTTGCTCTTTTTTTTTTTTTACGCTAGTGCTCTACTATCTCTCTTGATGCTCTGGGCCTTTTGGGACCTCCATAATTCATATTGGCTTTAGGGTATTTTTTAAAATATATTTTTATTTATTTAAGAGAGGAAAAGAGAAGAAGAGAGATAGAAACATCAATGATGAGAGAGAATCATTGATCATTGATCCCCACTGGAGATCACGCCCGCAACCTGGGCATTGAGCCCTGAACCCAGGAATCAAACCATGACTACTGGTTCATAGGTCGATGCTCAACCACTGAGCTATGCCAGTTGGGCAGTTTTATGGTATTTTTCAGTCACTTTTTTAAGCAGCGATTTACTTTCTCTAAGAATAATTGGCATAAGTTAACCTTAAAATTATTTCATATTTGTTGAGAAAAACCCAGAGGGGAGGATGACCTAAAAGAATGACTATTGCCCTGACAGGTTAGGCTCAGTAGATAGAACATTGGCCTGCAGACTGAAGGGTCCCAGGTTCGATTCCGATCAAGGGCATGTACCTTGGTTGCGGGCACATCCCCAGTAGGAGGTGTACAGGAGGCAGCTGACCAATGTTTCTCTTTCATCTACGTTTCTAACTCTCTATCCTTCTCCCTTCCTCTCTATAAAAAATCAATAAAATATTTTTTTAAAAAAGAATGCCTGTTAATTAGTCTGGGATATAAATTTTATGGTAGAAAACCCAGCAACTATATTATGTATTCTTATCTAATTCGGAGTTGAATCCAAAAAGTAATAGTGCTTTTTTAAAATATATTTTTATTTATTTATTTTTTACAGAGAGGAAGGGAGAGAGATAGAGAGCTAGAAACATCGATGAGAGAGAAACATCAACCAGCTGCCTCTTGCACACCCCTTATCAGGGATGTGCCTGCAACCAGTGTACATGCCCTTGACCAGAATCGAACCTGGGACCTTTCAGTCTGCAGACCGATGCTCTACCACTGAGCCAAACCGGTTTCGGCTAATAGTGCTTTTTAAAAAATGATAATTTCACTGAGGAGAAAAAAAAATGTTTCAATCTTACTTTTTAAAGGGATCTCAAGAAGACAGAGTTGCAACTGTCTGCAGAAAGGGCCAAAGTTAACAATCGTCTTCAGAACATGGACTTCCTAAAAGCAAAGTCAGAGGAGTCCAGGTTTGGAATCAGAGCTTTAGAGGTATGTATGAAGGACTGAAAAATGTTAGGTCTCTTCATACTGCTTTTTGACCATCTTCACAACTAGGCAGTATTACCAATCCTTTTTTACAGACCAGGGAACTACAGAGAAAGTCACTGCCCAAGATTTCATAGCTGCTTCTTGGTAGATCCAGATTCCCATGCAGGCAGCCAGGCCCCGCAGCTCAGGCTCTTAAGAAGCACTGTGCCCATGCTGGCACACATCTGTGGCTCTGGGAAGATTGACATGCAACATAAAAGTGTTTAGATACGTGTTTCATCTGTGATTTGTAGCTCCCCTTTACTGGGTTATATGTTGAAACATTTACTAATGATCACTTAGAAAATAATTTCCTTAACCGAACCCCCCTTTTTTGTATCTGCAGGAGAAACTTGCAGCCAGAGGCATGGAGGCTTCTCTGTCTCATCAGTCATTAGTGGAGCTTTCAGAGGTGAGCTTAATTTAACCCAGCTTAACTTTCTTTAAAATCTTAGTGCACAATCTGCTTTTTCACTTGTTTCTTTTTATAGAGCCTTATTCACTGTTAACCTGATTTCTTTTCCTTTGTCTCTGTACTTTACGTTCATCGGTATTGATAGCTTTATTCCTTGTCTAGCTGTCTATCCTCACATCTGTTTAGTTTTCTTTATTACTGTATGCTAGAAACTCTTTGCTGGAGTCAGTTATACACTATTGATTTATTTATTAAACAAATTTATTGAGGAACTCTGTGCTAGCCATCTAGGTCTTCCTCCTCCTTCTCTTTCAAAGGACAGTAAAAACGCAGGCCCCAAAACTGCAGAATGTAATTCTGGGTTTTTAGATTTTATAAAGATTTTATCTGTTTTGGTGGGAAAAGACAATAATAAGAACTTTGTGTAATTTTTTTACTCTGTGTGTTTTGTTTGTTTGTTTGTTTGTTTGTTAATTCTTACCTAGGATATTTTTTCCAATTGATTTTTTTCTTTTTAGAGTAAATGGAAGGGAGGGGGACAGACAGAGAGAAAAACATTGCTGTGAGATAGACACATCGACTGGTTGCCTCTCGAACATGCCCTGACTGGCTGGGAATTGAGCCTGCAACTGAGGTACATGCCCTCAACCAGACTTGAACCCAAGACTCATCAGTCTTCAGCCAACACTCTAACCATTGAGCAAAACCAGCTAGGACCTATATATACGTATATATGTATATATAAACACACACACATATATGTATATAATTTTTTTAAGAGCCCTAGCCCTAGAGGTCCAGTGTAAATTAGTGCACTCAGGGGTAGGGTGTCCCTCGGCTCTGCCTGCACCCTCTCTCCATCTGGGATCCCCTCAGGTAGGGTCCGTAGGCCTGGCCTGAGATCAGGGCCTATCCGGGCTTTCCTTCCACCAGCTGCAGGCAGCTGGCCCCACCCCCGAAGCTGCCACTGCTTGCCATCTGTGCAACACTGCTCCCCCTCCCCTGCCCACTGGTGGCCTCCCTCTGTAGGTGGCAGGTGTGGGGTGCAATGGCTTCGCTGGCCTGGACTTCACTCTGTGGGGCAATCACTGGCCGGCCTCACACCTGCCACAGAGTCACAGCCAGTGGCCTGGGCCTCCCTCTTTCTTTGCTGGGGGTTGGGGCCAGCTCTGCAAGGGGTTGTCTGCCTACCTGATCACCCCTAACCACTTGCCTATTTGATCACCCCTAATTGCTGGTCTGCATACCTGATTGCCCCTAATTACTTGCCTGCCAATTACTTGATCACCCCTAATTACTCTGCCTGCCTGGCTGATCACTCCTAACTGCTTGCTTGTGGGCAGGACCAACCAGCTGAGGGACCATGGTGGTTCTGGTCTCTAGTCATTCCAGTCATTAAGCTTATGGTGGCTGGCCTTTTATTATATAGGATTATTTCATTGTTTTTCCATCACCATTTATCTCCCCTATATATTTTATTATTCTTAAGATTTTTTTAAACCTTACATTTTCTAGGTTTTTTTGTTGTTGTTGTTGTTGTTTGTTTTTTAAAATATATTTTGTTGATTATTTTTTACAGAGAGGAAGAGAGAGGGATAGAGTTAGAAACATTAATGAGAGAGAATCATTGATCAGCTGCCTCCTGCACACCCCCTACTGGGGATGCGCCTGCAACCAACGTACATTGCCTTGACCAGAATCGAACCTGGGACCTTTTAGTCCACAGGCCGACGCTCTATACACTGAGCCAAACCGTTTTCAGCTTAAGTTTTTTTAATACTTTAATTTTTGAAATCTAAAGTTGACAATTCATAAAATATGTATTTGAGATTCTAATTGTTCCCTTACATTTCAGTTCCTCTTAATCACATTATTTTGGGTTCCTAGACAGCATACTTAAATCCTATTTTTAGTAAATGGGAGTAAAACTTTTCTATTTTAAGCATCTTATAAAGACTGTTTCCATTGGAGGTGAGTTTATCTGTTATCTTGAAACTCTTTATTTGATCCATTATTTTAAATTCCTAGTGTTAATGCTTTACTATGTTTTACTTCAGAAATGAGCAGTATTTAATTGTGAATATCTCTATTACTCTATGACTGTTTTTTTTCATCCCCAGAAACTGGAAGAACTAAAACAACAGACTATACCTTTGAAGAAAAAATTGGAGTCCTATTTAGATTTAATGCCGGTAATCATTTTTATGAATTAAAAAAAGCAGATGTCTTTTTTAGTACGCACTAAATGAGCATGAAAATAGTGAATCCATGCTTAAGGATTTAAAATTCAAGCTGAATTTCAATGGGTATACCCTCTGTAAGATTTTTTTACTTTTGAAAGCATCATTGCATTTTTTTCCCCTCAAGCCCTAATTGAGGTAATATAACCTTTCCTTATTTTGTTTTCCATTAAAAGGATCCATCTCTTGCTCAAGTGAAAATTGAAGAAGCAAAGCGAGAATTAGTAAGTTTTGTTGTTTTCTTCAGCTTTTAAAAAAGAAATAAAATAAATGCTGATAGAGCTAAAGCTCCCTTCATCTTTCTTTCTTTCTGCTCAAGAGCCAAAAATGAAGGGCTTTCCAAGCTTAGGGAAACGATGAGGTCCAGCTGCTTGGGAGTATTCAGTGGAACATGGGACTGCAGAAGGCCAATTGGTTATGATGTAAAGGGCCTTTGGTGTAAAGAGGGTGGGTTCTGTAGGAGAGACCAGGGAAAGTTGCAATTACCGAAGTACATTGTTTAAGGAATAAAGGTCAGGAAAATCTACTCCTGTATCATTCAATATACTAAATCATCTCTCTAAGGCTTTTCCCCCCTCTTTAGATGTTGATTACAATCAGGAGTCTGAAAACTTCTGGGGTTTGGAAAAGGGGAGAGATGTAAAAGGGAATGTCTAAAAGCATATTTAATATTTATAATTATTTTTTTAATTTTTGTTTTAATGTGTTTTTGTTTTGAATTTCCCTCTTTTTAAATAGGGGTAGAAGTTAGAGAACCTGTTTTATGTCTTTATAGTATTTTCGGTGTTTCTTTCTTCCCTTAGGCTGCTATTGAAGCTGAACTCACAAAGGAAGTGGAAATGATGGAACTGTGACCAGAGCCAAATAAATTTGGTGCTCCCGAAGAAAGTAAATTAAATAGGACTTTCATCTTAAGATGAAAAACACCTTAAGAGTAATAAAATATATAGGGGGGAATACATGATGATGGAAAAAATAAAATAAAAAATATATATTTAAAAGGACTTTGTTTCCTCTTAGCATTCCTTGATAACTTAATGTGTGTGTTCTTAGCTGAAATAATGTCACAATTGATAGGATAGTGGTTTCTGCTATGTATTGCATTTTTGTGCCCAAATACATAGTTTTCAGAATAAAAATGTTGGTTTTTTTTATATTATTGGTGGTTCAGTGTCCTTCAGTGGTCTTATTAGATGAATACGATGCCAGTTGTCATGTGGTCACTCATTAGGTCAGTTAAGCGAGAAGGAAAGGTTCTCTAATTCCAGTTATTTTTCTTCCCTCTCCAGGGGTTTGCTTTCTGATCAGCTCACTTGCCCACCTCCAAATGTTAATATATGCAGGAATTTAATTTATGAAAAAGATGGCCTTTAAAGTCAGTGGTAGAGACAAGCAAAATAGAGACAGACTTATAGATAGAGGAAAGTCAGACAACTCTGGATGGAGGGATAGAGCTAAAAAAAAAAAAAAAAAAAAAAAACTATGGACATGGACAACAGTGGTGGTTGTGGGGGATGAGGAGGGTGCGTGGACGTAGAAGAGGGCATAGAAGAGATAAATGGTGATGGAAAAAATGAAATCAGTGGAGGACAAATGGGTAATTGAACACATGGTGTTAAATCCATAGTCATATCTTATATCGGGATAGTTACAAAGGATCAGAGATTTAAATATTTTTAAAAGTACAAGAAATCATGGAGGAGTTTTAATGTTTTGACTTTGAAATAATCATAGAGTCAGAAACATGACAAAAATCCAGGAACCACAAATGAAATTTTTGAAATATTTAAAATTCCTGCATGGGGGGGGGGGGGGGGGGAGGAGCAATGTTAAGATATGTACACAGATAATTTAATTAAAATATATTTTTTAAAATTTCTGCATGGCAGAATCTCATGGATATGACAAATGTGCAGGGAAGAAGGAAGGGAATTTTCCACTGCACATTTTTGTATATTTAAAAGTTTCATACCATGTGATTAGGAAGCAATTTGTTTTTTTGAAAATTATCTAAATGACCTTCAAAATTTTCGCCCAAGCCAGTTTTGCTCAGTGGTTAAAGCATTGGTCTGTGGACTGAAGATTCCTGGGTTCGATTCTGGTCAAGGACACGTGCCCGGGTTGCGGGCTTAATTCCCAGCATGCAGGAGGCAGCTGATCAATTATTCTCATCATTGATGTTTCTATCCTGCTCCCTTCTTTCTGAAATCAATTAAAGTATATTTCTAAAAAATTTCCTTCCTCCCCTTTTCCACAAATATGTAGCTAAATATAATACAAAAAAAAATTGCTTCCGTTTTTTGAAACTGTCTATATTCTTTAGCCATTTAGGTACCGTGGTTTGGTCTTTTAATTTATAGGAGTTCCTTAGATAATAGCTAAACTAATATTTTATTCCACCAGACTATATTCAGGATCCCAAACTTTCATCTAGGCCTATTGTGCCCTTCCTTGTCAAACCCACTTTTAGCTAGAACTGCATAAGCAGGTAATATGTGGTGAATACTGAATTACCTTCTGAGGGAAACTAAGTCAGTAATTTCTGGCCAGACAATTCATATACGTAAATTAAGTTCTGTAGGGTTCAAAGATTCAAACTCAACAGATGAGATAATAAGTATATTAGAAAAGCCACTGGAAGAATTTTGAATCTTAAAGAAGTGGCATAATGAGTATGTTTAAGTAATACATGTCAGAAATAAGAAGACAGATAAACCAAACAAAACTGAAAAGAAAACTACAAGTACTTATTGAATCCTCTTGATGTTCTAATACTTTTTTTTCCATTTGATTCTCTTAGCTTTTCCAGGTATGTAATGATTCCAGATGCAAATAATGATACATTTACTTCCTCATCAGTTTTGGTCCTTTTAGTATTTCCTCGGGAGGTATTATCTTGTTATGGTGACACTAATGTGGTAATTACGGTAACAGTAAATGTTTTAGTCATTATTGTTGTGTAACCAACTATCCCCAAACTGGCATAAAACAGTCGCAGATTCTGTGGGTGAGGAATCTGGACAGGACACAGGCGACATGGCTTCCCTTTGCTCCTTACTATCTGGAGCCTCCAGTTTGGAAAATGTAAAGGCTGGAGATGAGTCAGTACCTGAAGGACAGAATCATCAGACGTCTTCACGCGCATGTCAGACAGTTTTCGTTGGCTGTTGTCCAGAGTCTATGGTTAAAGCACTTACACGTGGCCCCTCTGAGTGGTCTCTCCATGGTCGTTAATTTGGGTTTCTTCCCAACAGGGTGGCTGGTTTTTAACAGTGAACATCTCAACAGAGGAAGGCAGAAGTGTATAGCATTTTTATGATCTAACCTTAAAAGTCACAAAGTATCCATCATACTGTATCATTCGAAGCAGTCACAAAAGTCCACCCACAGAGTCAGGGGAAAGGGACATGGACTGTCCACACGGGGGTGGATTGTCAGGATTACACCCTAGGAAGAGTGTAGGATGGGAGACACCATTGTGGCCAACTTTGGAAATTGCATTCTGCCCAGAAGAACAGCTTGTTGTGTTCCTGAGTTGAGTGGAAATTCTTCCACTAACGGGGCTTTACCTTTAAGCCCAGGTTCAGATTTATTTATCATGTCAAGTAAGTCATTCTGTTCTGATTTTATTGAGGTTTTTTTTTTTTTTAAGTAATAATAGATGGTGAATTTTTCAAATGCCTTTTCAGCAGCTATGACGATGAAGCAAAATAAGATAAAAATGAAGGAGGTTGTGGTTGCTCTCTCTGAGGCATGCCTGCAATTCTTCCATTCTTTCCATACATATTTCTGAGCATTTACCTTGTGCCAGACAGTCTGCTGAGTGCTAGGAGAGACAGCGCTGGGCCCAAAACAAGGTGATTCGCTTATAGCCAGAATGATCCCGATCGAATGAACTACCTAAAGTCTGTTTTTATGTGCCAACAAACACAGAAAAGAGGTATTACCTCCCACTCCTTCACCCTAATTCCAAACAAGTTCTAATCTGATCCAGCAACTCATTTCCTGTGACACCAAATCACTGGGTCTTGTTTGAAGGGCACGGGGCATTTACACATGTAATTTTAGCCACCAGAGGGCAGTCACATTTAAAAAATGCTTTCAAAGGGGAAGAAAAGGGGCAAACCCATTTTGTGAAAGACTACACCTGGGGTTCTGGCGCCAGAGAGAAATCACATGGTGGGATTCGCTCCAACAGGGGGTGAACACCAGCCAAACTCTCCTACCTCAGGCCTGGCTACTGCACCAATTCATCACGAGGCTCGGGTACCTTGAGCGGAGGAGGATGTGATGAAACTTAACCAGGCCGTAATGAAATAGATCAGAAGGGTCTCCCGAACCAAACCCTCCAGGGGAAGTGAGCTGCCCAGGAGCCACCTTCCAGTTCTCTCTGAAGGGAGTTGGAGCACCTGTGCTGTGTACTGCCTCCTCCATTCAACACCCAGCTCTGTATCGGGCAACGGGCAGGCTTGTGCTGGCCACAAAGAGAGGTCTCGCTGGCACAACGCAGGAAGGACAGCCCAAGCCAAACAGTGTCCAATCAGGCTGCCTCTTCCCGCTGAGAGGCCACCCAAGACTCCAGCTTCTCTGGATGCAGCGTGCAGCTCTGACCGGTGAGGTCCGGCCAGCGGAGGTGTGCTTCCAGGGGACCCAGCCCATTTGGCTCCTCTCTTGGCCTAGGATGAGGGATTTATAGCCAGCTTTTATTTTGTTATTTACTTATTTATTTTTGCTTGTCAATGCCCTGCATTCCCTTCCCTGTCTGGCTGGGGCTTGGGCAGCTGTGGGAACCCATCAACAAGACTTTCAGGTTCTTTCATTCCCCAACCTCCCCCAATCCCACATCAATGACTGCAGAGCTCACATCGATGTGAAGAAGGAAAGGGGGAGAAAATAGTGAACATCTCAAAAACATTCTCCTTCCCATGCCTTGTGAGAATGCATAAGACTTATGCCATGTCTGGCTCAGGGCAGAACTCAATAAGTGGTAGGTACACACACACAATCCCTTCCTGGAATTTCTGAAGCTCCCAGAGTTCTAAAAAGCCAAAGATCTTCCATAATTTATTTGGCAAAACCTAATTTGACCTGTCCTGATCGGTTTGGCTCAGTGGATAGAGCATTGGCCTGGGAACTGAAGGGTCCCAGGTTGGATTCCGGTCAAGGGCATGTACCTTGGTTGTGGGGACATCCCCAGTAAGGGCTGTGCAGGAGGCAGCTGACTGATGTTTCTTTCCCATCGATGTTTCTAACTCTCTATCCTTCTCCCTTTCTGTAAAAAGATCAATAAAATATTTTTTAAAAAATAAACAAAACACACACACACACACATCAAAAAAACTAATTTGACCTGAATTCATTTGTTGGCAAAACCTCACCTGCACCACCACGTAGCTAACTGCTTGGCATGATTGTTCACATATTTCACTGATTACAGAGTGCCGTCCAGACTTCACTGCAGGCATTGTGAGTCTATAGCATAAGCACCTGTTTGTCTTCTAAAATCTGGAATATTCTTGCTATGGCCGGTGTTCTCAGTGGTTAGGGCCCTCGCATGGAAGGGTCTTGGATTCAATTCCCAGCCAAGGGTATATACCTGGGTTGCAGGTTTGATCCCTAGCCCTGTTTGGGGCATGTGCAGGAGGCAACCATCAGTGTGTCTCTCTCACATCGACGTTTCTCTCTATGTCTATCTCTCCCTCCCTTCTACTTTCTTTAAAAATTAATGGATAAAAATATCCTTAGGTGACGATTGACAACAACAACAAAAATCTGGAACATTCTGAATTCTGAAACTTAATTGGTCCCTGAGGCCTATTTCTATGTGAAATCTAGGTTCCATATCTTACCTCTG